GGGCGTCACCAACAGGATCTTCGACATCACCAAGACCATCGCAGAGTACAAGATCGTCGAGGGCCCCGAGGTCGACCTCTCGCAGATCGGCAGCACCAAGTTCGGCAGCCTCGACATCCAGATCATCGACAGCGTCAAGGACTACATCGCCTACCTCGGCGAGATCTTTGACTTTGCGCTCATCAAGAACTTCCTCCAGACCTCCGGCTTCACGGTGCGCTTTGATGCGCTGCACGGCGTCACGGGCCCCTACGGCCGCGCGCTGTTCGTCGAGCAGTTTGGCCTGGACGAGAGCTCGATCCAGAACTGCGTGCCCTCGGAGGACTTTGGCGGCGGACACCCGGACCCGAACTTGACCTATGCCAAGTCGCTCGTCGACGCGGTCGAGAAGGAGAACATCTCCTTCGGCGCCGCTTCCGACGGCGACGGTGACCGAAACATGATCATCGGCAAGGGCGCCTTCGTCAACCCTTCCGACTCGGTGGCCATCATTGCCGAGTGGGCGCAGCGGGCGATCCCCTACTTCAAGTCGGGCATCAAGGGTCTTGCACGTTCGATGCCCACTAGCGGCGCCATCGACCGCGTCGCGGCCAAGAACGGCTACGAGTGCTTCGAGGTGCCGACGGGCTGGAAGTTCTTTGGCAACCTCATGGACGCCGGTCGTCTCAGCATCTGTGGCGAGGAGAGTTTCGGCACAGGTTCGGACCACATCCGCGAAAAGGACGGTCTGTGGGCCGTCGTTGCATGGCTCTCCATCCTTGCCGCCGCGAACAAGGAGAAGCCGGGAACGTCGGTGTCGGATGTTCTGCTGCAGTTCTACAGCCAGTATGGACGCAACTTCTTCAGCCGCTACGACTACGAGGAGGTGGACTCGGAGGGTGCCAACCAGCTCATGGCCCACCTGCGCTCGCAGTTCCAAGACCCTGCCTTCGTCGGCAAGAAGCTGGGAGAGTTTGAGGTGGCCGAGGCGGACGACTTTAGCTACACCGACCCCATCGACGGCTCCGTCAGCAAGAACCAGGGTCTCTACGTCAAGTTCGCCGATGGAAGCAGGATCATCTTCCGCCTCAGTGGAACGGGCTCAGCCGGTGCCACTATCCGGCTGTATGTCGAAAAGTACTCCAACGACCCCGCCGAGTTCGAGGCCGATGCCCAACAGGGTCTTAGGCCGCTCATTCAACAGGCACTGGCCATCTCCAAGCTCCAGCAGTTTACCGGTCGCGACAAGCCGACGGTGATCACCTGATCTTCTCTTGTCGAATCACTCTCTTCAAATCGTTCAGCCGTTAACAAATGTCGAATGCAGTGCCTTTACAGATGCGATGGGATCGATGCACGTGAGGCGGGGGGTTTTCAGGTTCCGAATCCCGCCCAAGCCAGACTGAACACATCGAATCTGGCCAGTCTGCCGTGCTTGCTTTGCTGTTCTTTATCCGAGCTGGGGGCAGTATCAAATCTACCGCTTCGGAGCAGCTCGACTGTGTTGGCTGGGTCGAGTTCCGCTTCGAAGGTGGTGCAACACAGCAGGTGGGTCTTTTTGACTGCGGTGCCCAATCTGCCGTTGGCGACGAGGGTAGTCATGGGGACACTTTCGCTTGGCAGAACCAACTGAGCCGTATAGTGCGAATGGTACCGAAGCGGGTCGCCGGGATAGACCGCAAAGGCACCGCCGAATCGCAGGCCGTTCATACACCACAACCCTCGGTCCGCCACCAGATGCTCGAACAATGCTACGCTCGCCGTTTGCCTCTCGGTCGCCGGGAATGGCCATAGACGGTGTAGTGCGGAGAGTGTGGTGTAGGTGACTGGGTTGTACCAGCCAAGATCCGTGGAGGTGGTGGGGATGGTGTAGTGCCAAGGCAATCCGTCTAGCTCGCCAGCAACGGGGTCCGAAGCGGGGGGCGTGCGTGAGTGCTTGGCGCGCAGGGTTTGTCGTTCGTACCACGCGGCAAGTTGCTGTCCCCGTCGATCCTCCTCTGTACGCGCATCCACTTCACCCCGCTCCAAAGCTGTACTGGGTCGATAGGATGCCGATTCGTCGACAACGACACCTAGCCCGCGTCGGACAAGGTACACCACCTCCTCCGGTAGCAGCTGCACCGGCAACCCCAGAAAGATATTCTGCTGCGGAAACTGCGCCAGCGTGCCCGTAAAGCTTCCCGTCAACCCGTAGCTGCGCAAAAGACGCAGAGAGTCAACCGTCCAAATTAGCGCCACCCCCAACGACCCAACGTCCGAGTCCACCGCAATCCAAGGCGGCAGTGATGTCGCAGGGTGAAGGTGGATCTGCACCTTGTTGGCGAAGCGTGCAGAGAGGTCGCGGATGCTAGAGGCAGCATTGGCTGATGCCGCCCCAACACCGTCCGAACAAGATGCCGCCATAGTTGCAACCGCCAACGTCGAGATGGTGGCCTTGCGCAATCCTGCCTGCCCGTCAAGGAAAAAGTGGAGAACCCTGCGGTCAAAAATTCCATCTTCCGATTCCCGCTTTCCCCCCTCCCCCCCAACCTCACCCTCGCTTTGCCCACACACTTTCATCACAGACCCATTCTGTCTGCTCTGCAAAAGACCATGCGACGACGCCAAATCTAGCCATTACAGCTGGGTGATGCCAAGACTAGCTCGAATCAACAAATCCCCAAACTCGCCACCCGCCGTACTAATCGCGCAGGCTCTCACCGGCGCCGAGCGCGTTGGGCGCATTGTACGAGAAGCCGACAAACTGCTCCTGCACCGTGGCGCTGAGCATGTGGCTGTCGTCCACCACGCTGTCCATGGGCGGCTCGTTGGTGAACTCGGGGTCAAAGTTGCTCGTGTCGATGGCCGAGGCGACGCTCGGCTTGAACGGCGGCGGGATCTTTTTGGCGAGCAGCAGCTTCCAGTCGATGTGCTTGGCGAAGAAGGGGTGCGCCTTGATGTCCGCCGCGCCGTGCGGGCCGCTGCCGAGACGCTGTGCGGGATCGCGGTTGAGCAGCAGCGTGAGCAGGTGGCGCGCATCGGGCGACACCTCGTCGCCGAAGCGCAGCGGATCCTGCAGGATCTTGCGGTACATCTCGTTGACGTCCTCCGAGTAGAAGGGCGGCAGGCCGGTGAGCATCTCGTACAGCAGCACGCCTAGCGTCCACCAGTCGACCGCCTTGGTGTAGCCCTGCCCCAGCAGCAGCTCGGGCGACAGATACTCGGGCGTGCCGCAGAAGGTGTTGGTGGTCTGCTGGTCGCCCATGTTGAGCTTGCAGAGTCCAAAGTCGCACAGCGCAATGTGGCCGGTGTAGTCGAGCAGGATGTTTTCGGGCTTGAGGTCGCGATACACCACGTTGAAGCCGTGCAGATGCTCGAGGGCGCACAGCAGCTCGGCGGCATAGAAGCGCGAGCGCTCCTCGTTGAAGCGCCCCTCGCGCTGCAGGTGGTGGAAGAGCTCGCCGCCGTTGATAAACGCCAGCACGAGGTACAGCTTGTCCGGACTCTGGAACGAGAATTTGAGCGGCACGATGAACGGGTTGTTGACCTGCGCAAGTACCGTGCGCTCGGCCAGCGTGTGCGTCACCTCGGAGCGCGACACAATGTGCGCCTTGCGGATGGTCTTGAGCGCGTAGATGCGCGACGTGTCGCGCTTGCGCACCTGCATCACCTTGCCAAAGCTGCCCTTGCCGATCACCTTGAGCAGCTCAAACGCGTCCATGTTGAGCGAGCTGCGCGAGTCGCTGCGGTACGACACCTGCACGTGGATCTGGCCGTTGCCGCCGGCGAGCGGGTACCACGCGTCCGACGTTCTCTACCAGGCACAAGTGTGGAAAGAAAGGGTCAGTCCAAGGCGAAGCGAGCATTGGGTGTCACTGCAATGTACGCACCTGGTTCTCAAAGTCGGGCACAAACTTGACGCCGCCGAGGTAGATGTCGCTGACGCCCATGACGTCGTCGCCCTGACCGTCGCGGCTTGCCTCTGGCTGGTGGGTGCTGTGGCCGTCGCCGGAGCGCAAGTAGGTTTGCAGACTGATCTCCGAGATGCGCGACACGTCAAAGTGGGCGCGGAACATCCAGGTGGGGCCCTGGATGTCGCCGCCGATGGCGTCGATGAGGATCTCGTTCTTGTCGAATTCGAGCACGAGGTAGGGCAGCCACCAGCACTGTTTGCGCTGCATGCTCTGCCTGTTTTCGCGATTTGGCGCGCCGAAGGATTGGGCGAGGGAGGAGGCGTTGGGGTTGTGCATGGCGAGCGCTCTCGCTACGGCGGGCGGGGGGGGCATGCCGGC